GATTGTCAAGTGCCCATATGGCACACGCGTGAAAAGAATTACACTTTTGGTTCCTCTAGAACGTGGCAAGCATACAACAATCAAATGAATATAATTTCAACGCAAAAATTTTCTTTACATAAGGACCCTTTTACTTGTTATTTAAAAAGGGCAAAGCTGGCCACCTGCTGCACACTAAATAATGCAACTTAATGACATGTGAAATCTTCAAGTTCCACAAAATCATGTTAAGGTTTCAGCATTTTGGTGGCTAAAATGTGGAAACCTTGTTGACAAAGTATTGAAAGAAATCTAGATATTGTTTAGATTTCATTCGACATTATATTGTGTCAACATCTTTGTTATTCTCAAAGATGTTTGTATTGAAACATGAGGAGTTATCTTACCAATTGGTTAAAACTATTCAAGTTAAGAAGTGTTGTTCTAAACAAGAAAGACACATTATATCCTTCTCATTTATTATCTAACAGGCCCTGGTTGTTCAAATGCTGCATTACACTATCCACTGGATAAATCACCATCCAGTGGACAAGTATTTGGGAAACCAATAATTATTATGCTATCCACTGGAAAGATTTTTATCCGGTGGATAGCACAGTCTAACGTTTGAACAACCCGGGCCAGCATAATGAAACAAATACCATGACCTTTCAAAGGTGATCACATGTTGAAACTATAACTAAATTTAACAAAATGGTAATATTCATCATGCAAGCATCAAGTTGTGGATGCTATTTGTTGATTGCTAAACATGAAAGAAGCACCCAAGCATGTTATGCAAATGTTCTAATAATATTCATTTGTGAAAGAAGATATAATTAATGCACAAAAACCAAAAAAAAACTCTTGGGAAATATAAGTATTGTTTTATGATAAGGTCATTATTATAAACTATTGTCAATAAATAAACGTAAAATTAAGAGGTTGTCAATTGTATTGTTATCACAGGATCCTGAATACCATCCATTTTGGGAGTAAATTTAAACCATTTATTCTCTTAGACTGCTTTCACTTCTTACCTCACAAAATAATTGTGTTTCCTTCAATTTGGGAGGTCACTTTTCTTAACCAGCCTGCCAAGTAAACTTGACTTAATGGCCCGTTTTATGAGCAAAATAGAATGAAAGCAGTTTTAAGGCTTCAACTTCTCGACTATGCATGGGTGTGATGGATGTGATTTTATTATGTCAAGCAGCAAACCTGAAGATCATTAGTTTGTAGCATTTTCCACTAATGTCTTGAAAAGTAGGTTGAGTTTGATCGTCCGGGTGAACGTAGTCCTGAATAGGACTGTTGTTGTTGACGGTGACTGACGTTTCCACAACCTGTGCGGTAGTCATCTTCAGAGTCAAAGTGAGTTGTATCACGTCAGTTGATGGTATTATACTCTCGTTATTGATCTGATTGGTCAATTACGTCGCGAAGTCATTGGTCAAGACTAGTAATGTCTTGGATACAAAAAAGGTACAAGACAAGAAACTCTGCTCCACTTTGCCCACTGGAGGTTCGTGGTTCAAGCCTTGGCGTCATGTTATCTCCTAACCTTAGACAAGAAATTTTGCTCCACTTTGTCTCTTCACCCAAGTGTATAAATGGATACCAGTGACGTACTGTTGGGAGTAACCCTGCGATGGACTAGCATCCCATCCATGGGGCAGTAGCAATACTCTTAGGTGTTTCATGTTACAGACACCGGGATAAGCTCTGGTTGTGTACACAATAAGTAAAGGTCCAACAAGTATAAAGGTTTAATTTTAATCGTTTGTCTCACAATTGTCACTCTGATATTGATCACGACGTTTCCATCACACACTGCAGGTCTTCATCAGGCGATAGTGTCGATTTACTTGGTCGAACTATTTGTACCACTGTGGTTAAGTTGTTGGTGTATCACAAACCTCGCTCATGGTTGGTGGGTTATAATCCAAAGCGTTGTTGGCATTGTGAGAGGAAAAAACTGATCCCTCGGCGGTCCGCTGTGGTACAGGTCGGTTGTCATGTGCGATTGTAAATGGAGGCAGAAAAAAGAGAGGGTATGCGAAGTCCTCCTATATTGTCAGTCGGAATCCATATTGTCGCTTCAGGAATCTCAATTCCACTGTCCCTATTGATGTTGTTAGGGTGAAGTCTTATGTGGATAGCCTTCTTAACCCTACAAGAGTACCAGTGAGGGTTTCGGTCAATAAACTTAACTTTCAAAAGTAGGTTGAGTTTGATTATCCGGGTGAACGTAGTCCTGAATAGGACTGTTGTTGTTGACAGTGACTGACGTTTCGACAACCTGTGCGGTAGTCATCTTCAGAGTCAAAGTGAGTTGTAGCACATCCGTTGATGGTATTATACTCTGGTTATTGATCTGATTGGTCTATTAGGTAAACTTAACTTTGTCCCAGAGCGGATAATGCTCGGTCTTATTGGCATGTTCAGAGATGGCCAAAGTTTGAGTTTGTGAAAGCCGTATATCCCTATTGTGCTTCTTAATCCGTTCATGCATGCACCTTCCTGTTACATCAATGTATACTTTACCGCATTCACAAGGAATCTTATACACTAATCTATCTTGTTTTCGTGGATCCACATGCGTGCGATCTTAGAGTCATATCGGATTTGAAAACAGATCGTACGCCATGCTGTTGTAGGTAACGACGAAGAACCGCTGTAGATTTAAATTCGGGTGAGGGTTCTTTGTCAGATGCCTACCAGTTGCTGGAGTTTGTGATGTTATTCAAGAGCATTATGACATAGAGTAATTTAAAAACCACAGTTTGTCATCATCAACCGCAGTGGCAAGCGGCTGGGAAAGATTGGCAATTTGGATGACACTTCTCTCAGCAGCTTCGCGTGATGGAACAAACCAGAGTCTGCTGTTTGTATCCAGCTGAGGATTGCCAAACCAGTCAACTACTGCAATATAATGTTCATTATGGCTAAAAGAATGCTGCAAAAAATACTGCACCCTCCCAAATGATGGTGAGGCACCTTGATGACTGACAATATATGATGACTTGGCATACCCCTCTCTTTTTTCTGCCTCCATTTCTGCACCCCGAAGTACCCAGATGGCCCCCCTGGTTGCGTCACTTAGCTGGATGTAATGGAACTTGTTGGCACAGCTATCCCCTCCTTTTAGCATGCTGGTTTCATTGGCAGAAAGATGGTGTGACTCTGGCTGCCAGCATGAAATGGAAGGGAAAGTGGCCAACCTTCTGGTATTCCTTGCACGACGTTTCTCAGCCTCAAATAAGGTTTCCAAGCGGGCATACTCTGCGCAGACCACTTTGTAAACTTTACGCAGTTGTGCTGATTCCCATGGTGTTAAAAGGATGTTCCGTCCTTGGTCTTTCTTGATAACTGACAAACCAGTGGACAAAGTGGCAAGAGCTGGTTGCCTCTCATCAGGAAACTGCCAGGCTTCATTATCAGTTTCTTCTGCAAATAAAAAAACCACATTCTTATGATTTTTTTTATCAATTGCCAACCTATCTTCTGCAAATACCACCTCAATCAAGGAATGCAATATTCGTTAGAAGCAAATCAATTTTTCATTGTTAAATAATGTATTTAGCAGTTTCTCTAGATGTTTGTATCACCAAATACATGGGTTCCCTCTGGGAAGAGCTATGACTGGGAATACGTGCCGGTGTCAAAATAAACATAAAAAGATTACTGGTTAGAATTATGCATTCATTCTTGGGGTCTAATGAATTGCCAAGCCCTCAGTTACACAGATAAGAGAATAGGTCTGAAGGTACACTAAAAGTGAGGAATGCACAGTCTGTTGATCAACAATGTCTAATACATTACATTAATAAAACTAGTGAAAGTGACAATTAACACAGTAATTGCCCAGAGCGAGGACCATTAAAGTAACAATACATGCATGAGACCAAGATGAAGAGGTTACTATAATAAGCTATTTTCGTACAATGATTTGGTGTTTTTTATGCATTGTTCAAAAGTTTTATATTTATTTCCTGAGAGCCAGGTGGGAAAGTGTTTGGTTATAGACCAGCCTGCAGTATGGCTCCAAGCAAACACACAGCCATTTCACCCCAGCAGTCTTATGTGCTAGAGTGGGACTTAAGACAGGTTTAAATTTTAAGCGAGCATTTTCTTCGGACAACCTTTAGATAGTATAATATTATATATATTTTCTACTGTATACATACCTTTCCAGGTGGTATGTCTTACCTTTTACCCAGCCCATAGTCAGGAACAATTTATTATATTCATATGTTGAGGTTATTTTTACTATAACGGCACTATTATTTATTGTTAAATTGCTGTTTAGTTAACCCAACATGTTCATTAAAGCCAAACGTGTGTAGGGGTTAATATAACGGTTGCACAGTCCAGTTCTTCTTGTCTGGAGCTTGGCAGACTCGAACTGCCTTACATCAGCTACATGTAGGTGTCACCTGGTGTAACCTCGCATGGAACCCCTTTTCTTAATACCCAGGTGTGCAAAGAGTTATGAGATGCATTATAGCAGGATTATAGGTTTCATCTGCATTATATCAGTAAAATATGGTTATTATTAAGGAGGCATGAGCAGCAAAATTAGTTGGAAAGTTAGTTGTTAGCAGAATTAAACATTAAATAACGTAACAGTGGTTACAAACATATCCAGCATAATTGGCCTGTTGAGGAGATTAATAAATTGTCATAATTATTGAGTTATTAACTGATTGACTGAGATTATAGAAATAAACAATGAACTCTTAGTTTTGAAAATAGAACACAATGATGGATTAAATTACATTGGAATGATGGACATTTTATTAAAGCATTTAAGAATAGCTCGATCAATTTTATTGCATTCTGCTTTTATCGCTTGAAGTGTTATATTCAATAACTGAAATCACAGAGATACAAAACTAATATAGCAGTAAGTACACTGTACATTATCTGAGCTTAATCATACTCATAAAAACAATGCACCATGATTGTCATCATCATCCACATCCCCTGCAGCTCTATTAAAAATCTCCAAAGGACAGCAAGTTTTTCTTAGACCAGTGTCTTTTAGCAGTTCTTAAGACATCATAATCAGAGAACTAGAGCCATATAATGAACATACCTCTACTACAACATTCAGGTCTATAGGCAAGTTCCTCTGGCAACCTCCCTGACACTTTCATGTAGTAACACCACTCAAAGATCTAAACAAGATATCCAAATGAGGCGCAGTCAAACACAAATTAAGTACATGTATCTAAGATTGTTTTTTTGCTTGAACATCAACAGTAAAATGTAACGGCACAATTTGTATTTCCAATTACCTTTTAATTTGCTAGCCTAGACCTACATGTAGTACATTACTCATAGAAGCCAAACAGTGTATGGGTTGGTCTTGTTCCGTGGACTCACGGCTTTTAAATGTCAAGGAAACATGAGGGGCTAATTTTACAAATTTAATCTTTCAGGTCAAAAGAATATGGATGCACGGATAATTTTAATTTATCTTTGAGTACGTTTCAATCAATATTGATTTGAACATGAAAAGATTAATTCCATACAATGTATCTGCAAGCACCCATGTATTATTCTGTTTATTACATGTTTCGACTCTATAAAATGGTCAATTTGGATTTTCGTACTATGTACTTTATTACGCCATCAAGAGTGAAAGAGCCTCACCAGCTACATGTCACCTGCCAGAGCAGAGAGCTTGGCAATTATAAGAACTTACCCGGTATGTCTCCATCACTGTTGCTTCTGGATACCTTCTGCTGGTTACCCGTCTTGCAATCCATGAATTGAACCTTTTTGGTCAAGATGAAAGGAAAAAAACTGCATTTGAAAAAAAAAACACAACACTGCATAAATTATAAAATAACACAAATGAAATGAAACACAAGATTATGTTATGTGCGCAACACATCTGTACCTTTCGAAAGGGAACATCCATGCTCCTTGAACTGGCCCATGGACCTTTATCCCATCAACAATGTGGTGGAGCAGGTGGAAGGATATGTCCTTTGGATTATATGAATCAGTAACATATTTTTAATTAATATGTTTTTCTGTGCCATCAGATGTATTGTTTTGACTATGCAATATAATTATGTCTTGTATAAATTCTGACCAGTGGGTGCCTCTTTTAATAATAAGTTAATAGAATAACAGATGATGTAGGATGCTGCAGAGTGAAACTTTGCGAGTTCAAATCTTAGCTGGACCAGGATATTACAATGGCTAATAGGATCATGCAGGTTGTGCTAAAAACCTAAACACAATTATTCATATGAGAGCATTATTAGACACTGATGCTGTATTAAGCTGTATGTATAAGTCTGGTCTCTGATACTTTGCAAACAATCAGAGCAGGTAGCCCCAGCAGTATTGTAGTCTGGCTTGATTTTATTAGATATTTACGTCCAGTGGTTCACAAAGCTAAGGGTGTGTGAATTAGCTTGTTAGGCCACCCTGATAAAGCTCAAGTCAACACCTTAGTATAACTAATAAGGATATCACATCAAGTGTATTGAAAAACGATTTTCCACATCAATTAATACTTGTTCAAAAAGAATATACATGTACCTGTATGACACAGGGAAAGTCTCTTTCCATTAAGGCCATTGCCACATTCAGTTCTTGCTCAAGTTTATCCAGGTCACTGGTGGACTGCTCTTCATTTAGAAGCTTAGAGATGGCATCCAAGAATTGAAATAGCGTGGCTTCTTGAAGTCGTGGAAGTAGACCCATAACAGAAAATTTGAATATGTTGGACTTAAGGAACTGAAAAGACAAAATAAGACTACAAGTCAATCAACTTCAACTGTGTACTTAAAGTGCCACTTTATGCAGATAAGAAAACACATCTCCCTTAACTCAGGGCCATTCCATTTTATATCCAAATCCCCAGATTTTCTGAAGGGTTCAATGCTAGGAGAGATGTTTTTCTGTAGGGGGTTGTTGTCCGAAAGGTCAATTTCTGAAGGGTGCAAATACCAAGAATAAATTTCTAAAGGGAAATAGGTATCAATAAGCATGGTGAATACAGGTTTTCTTATGAAGGGTACTGTAAAACTTCCTTTCTGAAGGAAACAAATAACATTGCCATATTTTCTGAAGGGCACAGAACCAAAAAATTCTACATTTGTTCTATACTATTTCTGAGGGTTTCTAAGGATAATAAACATTGTAATCATAACTATAACAAAATTGTCAAATCTGATTGGCTGTCAACTGCCCTGATTTCAGCCTTAATTGGACAGTTTAATAGGACAGTACGCGTCATGCCTAAGTTTTCTTTTTTGTTAGTTCAATAACGACACAGCAGTTCAATAAGTACACAACAGATCAATAACCACACCAGTAGTTCAATGACTACACATCAGTTCATTGAGCGTAAACTACGTGCGGCTGCGGGAAGAATAGCCACAAATACGTTAGTTATTTTTTAATAAGAATGCATAGCATTTAGTAAGTGGTAAATACTCATTTAGCTATGGTACGAGAACTAAATAGATAAATAGCTATGTTACACTGTTATTA